TCGGCTTTCCCCGCCAGCCCGGCTGCACGGAGGGGTGGCTCGGAGCTGCAGGGCGCCAGGGTTCCGATGGGAGCCCCCGGCTCCAGCCTGGCAACAGCTCAGTCGCTCTGCCTAGAAGAGAGGAAGTCGCTTCTCTAAGGGGGGAGGGGACTTTAGGAACTTCCCCAGCGCTGTCACAGCCACAGACTGGCCTCAGCCCTGTGGCACCTTGCAGACTAACCGAGTATTGGGGCATAAGCTCTGGGTGGGGGGACCCACTTCCTCAGGTGCTTTGGAGTGGACATTACAGAGGCAGGGAGATAGATATATAATAACTGGGTAGCTAGAGAGTGTCAATCTACCATCTATCTGCTGGTCGGGTTAGGTGTTTGATCTCCCGAGGTTCCAAGGGGACGCCCACCTCGTATTCGTCTTTCCTAGGAATTGAGAGACCGGCCCTGGCCTGACACGCTGGAGTCGAGAGGCACAGAAAGGGGTAAAAATTGTACCTGGATGTGGTCCTTTGTTTAAGTATATATATACATAGACTTAGAGCTCTTTAAAGATTAAGCTGTCACTTGGTACCATTATTTCTATTTTCTATCTTTATTTTCTTTGTAACCATTTTTAAAATCTGTATTTGTTAGCATTTAAGAAATAGAGCAATAGCCATTGTAACCATATGCTTTTATAAGTCTTTTAATAAACCTGTAACTGTTTAAGCTTTAACCTGACTCCTTCAGTTGCTGTAACAGAACCAAGAACAATTTAAAAGACCTTCAGCCGGTCATAAAGAGACAGGCATAGGAAGAGCTTGGGCGTTTGGATCTGTGTCACACCCCAGGTGACAAGATCCATTGGGGCACCTTTCCAGCCTTTCCCAGGCTGCCCGCTGCGAAGGAACCCCTGTGTTCTAGCAGCCCAGGTGACAAGATCCGTTGGGGCACCTTTCCAGCCTTTCCCAGGCTGCCCGCTGCGAAGGAACTTTGTGTTCTAGCAGTTAAAATCTAAGGTGTAATAAGCTCTTCCTATATAACAGGGCGTCTGTTGGCCTGCTGGCCACCCTCTGCGACGGGACCCCGGTCCTAGCAGTAAAGACACGGACGTTAAACCTTTTCTCGGAAGCATACGCACACACACTGCCCTGACCGTCGGCTGACAGAATTCTTTTTCTCAAAAGAAGGTGTAGAGGGTTCCCCAGAGTTAGTCTGTAACTAGACAAACTTAAAAAACAACAAATAGTCCAGTGGCACCTTAAAGACTAACAAAAGATCAGGAGTGGTCAACCTGTGGCTGCAGAGCCACATGCGGCTCTTCAAAAGTCAATATGAAGCACCTTGCATAGGTACCAAATCCAGGGCTGGAGGGTGCTCACTGTTCAACCCCCAGGCCCTTTTCCTGTAGGATCCTGCCACTTCCCACCCTCTTCACTGAGCCTATCACACCCATGCTTCCCCCCTGCAGTGCCTCCCACTGAGAAAGAGATGATCCCAGTGGGCAGGAGGAAAAGGAGGAGGCACTAACCAGTGGGGCTGCTAGTGGGCAGGATGTTCTGAGAGTGGTGGTGGGAAGATGATCAGGGCTGGTGACATAAAACTGTTGCCCTTTGGCAATGTGCTTTGGTAAATTCTGGCTCCTCAAGTTTAGGTTGGCCACCCCTGATATAGATGGCATCGTGAGCTTTCCTGGGCACAACCCACTTCTTCAGATGATTGGAATATTAAAAGTCCAGATGCAAGAATAAATAGTTACTTATCAAGTGTAGCACCAGTTTTAACAAGACCAATTCAGTCACCTGCCAATGAGGCTTCTTTCAAACCTGCTGGCTTGTGTGTGACCCTGGCTAGTTGACAAAGATAAGAGCAAATTGCAGATCCCCATGGATTTCTCTGCAACCTTACAGGTTGTAGCAAGAGCGCATCATACCACAAGCTTGCTTGAGAAACCTCATCAATTTGTGGGGAGCTCTCTCATACGGCAGGTGAAGCCATTTGCTTTGTATTGCACCTGTAAAATCTCACTTTGAGCCAGTCCTCCGGCTGATTCTTTTGGCTGCTGCGGGGGTCCTGTTATCTGCAGCCTCGCAGCTGGCCCTGGAGTACAGTCCAGGCCTGTCTCAGTGAGTCATTGACTGCCCCGTGTGTGGAGTCTGCTTTCCTGGAGTGGTGTGACAAACAACTCAGCAGGACAGAGTTGGACTGGGCTGTTTCACCTTTTTTTTAAAAATTATTTCTGAGCTTTTACAGTATACATTGAATAAATAAAAATCACCATTATTATTTTTCTCTCCTGTTATTTTAATTTTGTTGCACCTTCTCTACTTCCTGTTCATTTGAATCTGGCCATGGGTAACTCCACTTTCAACACATCAACTTCAGCCCTTTTTTCCAAAGCTGTTTGCCCCATTTAATTTGATCTCACTTCCTACGCACTCAGCCTCTTCTAATGTATTTGTATTGAAGATGGGGTCTCTAGGCACTAGAGTAGACATTTTAGACTAGAAAAAAGGTACACATTTTTAAATGTGATGGCCCTGAACCTTTGGAGCAACTAACACAGGGTTGTGGTACCTTTTCCATCATTTGGAGTCTTTAAATTGAGATTGGATGTCTTTCTAAAAGATGCTGTCTAGCCTGACCTGAAGTTTTAGGCTTCATGAAGGAATCGTGATTAAATTCTATAGCCTTGTTACACAGGAAGTCAGACTACGGATGTAAGCGACTAGTTGACTACCCAATAAGCAAAAGTGTATCAGTCAACTAGTCACTTCCCCTCCCCACTGATTAAAAGTCCAGATGCAAGAATAAATAGTTACTTATCAAGTGTAGCACCAGTTTTAACAAGACCAATTCAGTCACCTGCCAATGAGGCTTCTTTCAAACCTGCTGGCTTGTGTGTGACCCTGGCTAGTTGACAAAGATAAGAGCAAATTGCAGATCCCCATGGATTTCTCTGCAACCTTACAGGTTGTAGCAAGAGCGCATCATACCACAAGCTTGCTTGAGAAACCTCATCAATTTGTGGGGAGCTCTCTCATACGGCAGGTGAAGCCATTTGCTTTGTATTGCACCTGTAAAATCTCACTTTGAGCCAGTCCTCCGGCTGATTCTTTTGGCTGCTGCGGGGGTCCTGTTATCTGCAGCCTCGCAGCTGGCCCTGGAGTACAGTCCAGGCCTGTCTCAGTGAGTCATTGACTGCCCCGTGTGTGGAGTCTGCTTTCCTGGAGTGGTGTGACAAACAACTCAGCAGGACAGAGTTGGACTGGGCTGTTTCACCTTTTTTTTAAAAATTATTTCTGAGCTTTTACAGTATACATTGAATAAATAAAAATCACCATTATTATTTTTCTCTCCTGTTATTTTAATTTTGTTGCACCTTCTCTACTTCCTGTTCATTTGAATCTGGCCATGGGTAACTCCACTTTCAACACATCAACTTCAGCCCTTTTTTCCAAAGCTGTTTGCCCCATTTAATTTGATCTCACTTCCTACGCACTCAGCCTCTTCTAATGTATTTGTATTGAAGATGGGGTCTCTAGGCACTAGAGTAGACATTTTAGACTAGAAAAAAGGTACACATTTTTAAATGTGATGGCCCTGAACCTTTGGAGCAACTAACACAGGGTTGTGGTACCTTTTCCATCATTTGGAGTCTTTAAATTGAGATTGGATGTCTTTCTAAAAGATGCTGTCTAGCCTGACCTGAAGTTTTAGGCTTCATGAAGGAATCGTGATTAAATTCTATAGCCTTGTTACACAGGAAGTCAGACTACGGATGTAAGCGACTAGTTGACTACCCAATAAGCAAAAGTGTATCAGTCAACTAGTCACTTCCCCTCCCCACTGCAGAAAGAGGCAGCAAGGGGAGGGAGGCAAGAGGCTGCTGCGGGGAGCCAGCTAAAAGCCAGTTCCCCCCAGCTCCAGCTCTGTGGGAGGGCACTGGGGCACAGCATTCCAGCTTTGAAATATACAAGAGTCCCCGCTGGAGTCTTGTACATTTCAAAGGAGAAGTGCCACATGAAGCCTGGGTCAAGTGGGAGACTCTGAGGCGTTTCAATCTTTGAAGGCTGTGCTAGTCCTTATAGACTAATCGAATAGTCGATGAAAATCCCATCAACTATTTGATTTGTTAATCGAAATTTAACATGCCTAGGTCAGACTAGATGATCATGATGATCCCTTCTGGTCTCAAAATCTATGAATAGCAAGACAACTGCCCTCAGATCTTGTAAGTGAATACAATGCAGGAGACAAGAATCAGAAACAACATACAGAGGAGGGGATAATGAGACAATATAGGTCAGCGTGTTAAGCAGTAATCTAACCATTGCTGAGTTTCTTGTAGGCCTCATGAGAGAGGAGAGTTTTAAGAGGTATTTCTTTAAAAAAAACTTTATTTTGTATTGTTTTTATATAAAATATAAACACCTAGCAAAACATGTTCAAGATGGAAATGGAATGTAAATAATGAAATTCAGCTGAGGCATCTGAAGGAGGTGGCTTTGCCAAGTGCTCTACCCTTCTATAAAGGGTGAATAGAGGACAGTGTGCAGAGATGAACCTTTGCTAAGTTTACACATGGGCAGTCAGGGCTGGTGGCATTGGAGGGCTGGAGGCAGAGGGTGACATAATAGCATATAAGGGTATATCTACAGTGCAATCGCAGGTGTGACTGCAGCTCAGCTAGTCAATAGCTTCAGTCTAGCTTGGGTATCAAACCTGGTGTCCCAGGCTTCAGTGTGTGCTAGCCCCCTCAGTAATTACTCAGAGGTCTTGCCAGGCTTGTACTGCTCATGCAGGGTACGTCTTTACCCGCCACACCGGAGATCAATGTTCTGGCGTTCAATTTAGCCAAGCTAATATATCCGTAATATATAACCCGTAAATCAAACTCTGAGGGCAGCTCTGACCGGCATCTGCTCCCCTCGGCCTCCC